CGTGAGTGTGTGAGTGTGTGTGAGTGAGTGAGTGAGTGAGTGAGTGTGCGTGTGCGTGTGAGTGTGCGTGTGCGTACGAGTGAGTGTGTGAGTGTGTGAGTGAAAGTGCGTGTGTGGAACTAGAGTGAGGGTGCAGGTGCACTCCACAACCGCTGTTGTGGGGTTTGTCGTCTGTGGTTCATTCCCATCTTGATCACGGGCTGTATTGTAGTCGGTGGAACAGGAAGTTGAGGCTGAGCTGCACGTGCTGGAGCAGCAACTGCAGCGACGCCGGGAAATCAAACAGGAAAAGGCGATGCTGCAGAACATCCTGAGCCTTGCTGCTGCTGTGGACAAGTTGGAGAACCTCATTCAGCCCCTCAAGTGCGTGCCATGAGTGTACCCGCGGGAGCACCCGTGTACTTTTCACCTCTGTCATGTCATAACCTGACGTCGCTCTTTGTTCCCCCCCCCGCCTCTCGCTCGTACTCCACTCTTCTGTCTCATTCTCTACGTTTCTGTCTTTTTCGTCTCAACACTGTTTTTCCACACACCACCTGCTGATGCGCCACCCGATGGCTCTCCACCGTCACATCACCACCATTCCACCACTGTGCAATGCTGACGTGAGCAGGGCTGCGATGGCTGCTGGTCAGCATGTGCCAGTCGAGCAGCTCGAGCGCGTTGCCAGCGAGTTCACGCACGTCGACTGCTATGCAGCGCGATGCAAAGGAACCGATCACCACAAACATCTTCAACCGGTAAGGGCATGCACGCATCCTTGACCCCTTGCTGGTTTCATCCCAACAGCGCCCTCAAAGACGAACATATGCACATGGTCACATGCGCCTCATACATGTACAGCTCACATCTCACATCACACGCTCTCCCTTTCCTTCGCACACATACTTGTTTGCTGGCATACTTACTGACTCACTCGCTCACTCACTCACTCACTCACCCACTCACTCACTCACTCACTCACTCAGTCCAGGCCTCACTGGTGGAGCTCATCAACCGCGACTATGCGCAGTTTGTGTCCCTCTCCTCCGATTTGGTTCGTTTCACTCGCTTAGCCGCGTACAAGATGCACCTCGTTCCCGTGGCTGTGCGCAGCCTAACTCCAGCGGTGGCCGCCACTTGCTCATACGCTTGTGTGGGCGCCTTGACATTGTGCAGGTGGGCATTGACACCACCGTCGATCAACTGGCAAAACCACTCAAGGGCATGCTCAAAGACGTTGAGGTATTGTTTCGCAAGTGTGAGTGAGTGTGTGTGTGTGTGAGTGTGAGTGCGAACGAGTGAGTGAGCGTGAGTGTGTGAGTGTGTGTGAGTGAGTGAGTGAGTGAGTGAGTGTGCGTGTGCGTGTGAGTGTGCGTGTGCGTACGAGTGAGTGTGTGAGTGTGTGAGTGAAAGTGCGTGTGTGGAACTAGAGTGAGGGTGCAGGTGCACTCCACAACCGCTGTTGTGGGGTTTGTCGTCTGTGGTTCATTCCCATCTTGATCACGGGCTGTATTGTAGTCGGTGGAACAGGAAGTTGAGGCTGAGCTGCACGTGCTGGAGCAGCAACTGCAGCGACGCCGGGAAATCAAACAGGAAAAGGCGATGCTGCAGAACATCCTGAGCCTTGCTGCTGCTGTGGACAAGTTGGAGAACCTCATTCAGCCCCTCAAGTGCGTGCCATGAGTGTACCCGCGGGAGCACCCGTGTACTTTTCACCTCTGTCATGTCATAACCTGACGTCGCTCTTTGTTCCCCCCCCCGCCTCTCGCTCGTACTCCACTCTTCTGTCTCATTCTCTACGTTTCTGTCTTTTTCGTCTCAACACTGTTTTTCCACACACCACCTGCTGATGCGCCACCCGATGGCTCTCCACCGTCACATCACCACCATTCCACCACTGTGCAATGCTGACGTGAGCAGGGCTGCGATGGCTGCTGGTCAGCATGTGCCAGTCGAGCAGCTCGAGCGCGTTGCCAGCGAGTTCACGCACGTCGACTGCTATGCAGCGCGATGCAAAGGAACCGATCACCACAAACATCTTCAACCGGTAAGGGCATGCACGCATCCTTGACCCCTTGCTGGTTTCATCCCAACAGCGCCCTCAAAGACGAACATATGCACATGGTCACATGCGCCTCATACATGTACAGCTCACATCTCACATCACACGCTCTCCCTTTCCTTCGCACACATACTTGTTCACTCACTCACCCACTCACTCACCCACTCACTCACTCACTCACTCACCCACTCACCCACTCACTCACTCACTCACTCACTCACTCACTCACTCACCCACTCACACACACACACACACTCACACGCTCGCTCACACACACACACACACACACACACACACACCTACACACACTGCGCACTTGCCGGCTCTCAGCGGATCGTGGAGATGCAGTCGTGGATCGACGACGACCTTGCCAGTCGATTACGAGACGCATTGGCAGCTGCGACCCGTCAGCGCGTGCACTCGCTGCTTCGCATCTACCACCTCATTGGTCGCATTTCCAGCGCCGAGATCGTCGTGCAGCGCCAACTGTTTGCACCGGCCGCCCTCGAGTCCGCCGACAGTCTGCGCCCCATCACCACGCACAACCTGCAGTCCTTCTACGCAGCGGTACGTGGCCATCAGGGCATCCAGCGTCTCGCTTCCACAGTGTAGTGTGCTCGTGTGATGTTATGGAATTGCAACTGAGTTGCTCGTGGGTGCATGCCTGCTTATGTGTTGCACGGACGCGCACGTGTGTGCGCGCGCATGTTGTTTGCATGGTTTGTTTTTTTTTGCACAGTTGTACATGTGTTTGCGTGCTGATGTTTGATCGCCATTGCCTTGTTCCCTCTCCGTGACAGATTGTCAGTGTGTGGAGAGACCGCGGTGCATGCGTGTGCGGAAGCGCTGTCCTCTCCAACGATCGCCTCCTCGTCAACGCGTTTCTCCCCGCTGTTGTGCCCGTCATTACGAACGCGTGCGACCAAATCACCTCCGTCGTCCACCCCGATTTCCGGCAGGTGAGTCCCAGGGCTGGCGATGCT